TGGTGGAGAACATCCATTTGGTGGGCAGATTCACTGTCTAGTCTCCATCAGGACAGCTGGTCAACTTTGCCAGTGGCTTCCCAGTGGATTCCATTATTGCAAAGGGTGAAGGATTGCTCTGTGTTCTCTATTTCCCCCTTCTCAGAGTTGTCTTAGTAGTTACCCTATCTCTGACCTACCATTACATTTATGTGTGTATGATATGGAGGCTGGGGGCAGAGGAAGAATGCAAATACCTTGGCATCTAGTTTATAGCCTTTGGAAGCATGGCTGAATCTGATAAGAAGAATTGTACCTTACCCACAAATCATGGATTTAGAGTTGCATTTTTGGGGGTGAGTGGGGGGAGACCCAAACCAAACTAAACCCTTTGCCTTTCAGCTTATTTCAACTCATGACAAGCCCATATGTCACAGAGTAGAACTCCATAGGGTTTTCTTTGCTGTAATCTTTCTTCTGCAGCACTGCTGGTGTGTTGAATCTTCAACCTTTAGGTTAATAGTTGAGCACAAACCATTTGCATCATCTAGGGAACTTGGGAAGAAAGAGTCCTAAAGAAATGTATTGGGGTATCTGGTCCCCCCGGCTCCGCCTCTGCCTTGCTGCAGCCCTTCTTCTTTAGCTCCACGTTCACTCATCACCATGAGCGCGCAGGTCTCCAGCTCCTACAAGGAGGGCACCTTCCTGTTCACCTCGGAGTCTGTGGGGGAAGGACACCCAGATAAGATTTGTGACCAGATCAGTGATGCTGTTCTTGATGCCCACCTTCAGCAGGACCCTGATGCCAAAGTGGCTTGTGAAACTGTTATTATTAACACTGGACTGGTTATTCTTGCTGGGAAAATTACATCCAGAGCTGCCATTGACTACCAGAAAGTAGTTCATGATACCATCAAGCACATTGGCTATGATGATTTTTCCAAAGGATTTGACTACAAGTCTTGTGCTGTTCAGGTGGCTTTGGAACAACAGTCACCAGATATTGCTCAAGGGGGTCACCTTGACCTGAATGAGAAGGAGGTTGGTGCAGGAGACTACCAGGGCATGGTGTTTGGTTATGCCACTGACGAAACTGAAGAATGTATGCCTTTAACCCTTGTCTTAGCCCACCAGCTCAATGCCAAA